GGGTGACGCCGGCATCTTCAGTAGGAAAATGAGTGAAAAGAAGAAGAATTACCTCCTCAGGGGACACACCAGCATCTTCAAGGCATTTCTTAATGCATGCAGACAGCACAACACCATCAGGTCTTGGATTTGTAATATCATAAGCATCAAAATTAACAGCTCCACCCAAGTACTCGGCAATGATCAGCGCACCCTTTGCATCGCATGTTCCAAGCTTTCCATCACCTAGAATCAACTCCCTCATCAAGATCATTGATTTGTTTAAGTATTTATCAGGAGGAGATAGCCAAGTAACAAACAAGAATTTGAATGCAAAAGCACCAATCATATTTACTCGAGACTAATTTCCATTATTCAACCAAATAGTTCAGTGTTACAAAAGTTGACAGGTAGTGAAGGGGTTCCAAATCCATTGAACAACGCACAAGGGGCAAGTTTATGGTACTAAGAGGAAAACAGCCAAGTATCTCGTTTTTACACAAACAAACCTGATCAGAGTTCATTGACGTGTACCTTAAAGCATGAAAAAAAAAGCATACTCTTAATAACATGATTAAAAGTATCTCGTGTCACCAATGAAGGCAAAACAAGATGTTAACTGGAAACAGATAATACAACAACCAACAAGAAGCTAAATGATGCATCTTACATTTAGCATTTAAAGAATGCAAAGCTACCAACACTCCAGCACCTTCACCAATGACAAAACCGTCTCGATCTTTGTCCCATGGCCTCGAAGCAGTTTGAGGATCATCATTTCTTTGAGACAATACCTTAGATGCGGCTAAACCCCCAATCACAATAGGAACGATTGGAGCTTCTGCGAACGATTGGAGCTTCTGCTCCACCCACAACCATCACTTTAGCGATGTGATTGGCAGCAGCAAATAAGCAATGATTGGAGGTAGCGCATAAAGCTGAAATTGAATAATTAGGACCCACGAAGCCATGATCGATGGCAAGCAAGGCAGAAGTCGTGTTGGGTATAGTAGAAGTAACAAAGAATGGTGAGATTTTCCTAAAACCTTTCACGAACAGGTTTCGAATGCCATCAGACGCAACTGAAACACCACCCATACCTGAACCAATAAGCACTCCAATTCGGTCCTTATCAATCTGCAATGAATACAAAAACTAGAAACATTTATTTTTAGCAAATATTTAAGGCAACTAAAAACAGAACACAATGTTTTGGTGAAGTAATTAATAACAGAAGCTGAAATTCCGATGCAAACCCCAAGCAGACTAGCAAATATTTAAGGTAAATATTTATAATCTTATCCAATTTTATCAATGGTGTCGTCAAATTCGAGCCCAAAATGGATAACAACCATAAAAAGAACACACAAACTGAAAACCAGAAGTAAAAAGCTCTGAGACAAGAGAAGAAGCCACCTTAGATAACTCATCAACCCCGAGACCAGCGCCTTCTAGTGCCTTTTTACCTGCGACATAACCGTACCTCAAGTGATCATCAACCCTCTTATCCATCTTAGGATGAATGAAATCTTGAGAAGTGAACTCGCGAATCTGACCAGCAAACCGGGTTTCAGATCCTCCAGCATCGAACCTGTCTATGTTTCCAACTCTGCTCTCACCAGCAAGCAAATTATCATAGAATCATTCACATCATTTCCGTTATAACGACCCGTTTCTTGGGGTCTTTCTCACGCTTGGGAGCAGCAACGGCGGGAGAAGAATCGGTGAAAGCCCTTACAGAGAATTTCTGGGTTGGCCTAAGACTGGGAGAGAGTCCTAGAAAGGTAATCTGGGGGCTGGGAATGAATTTGGGTTTTCCGAGAGAGTTTAGTGTGAAGCATGGAAAAGCTCGAGTTTGAGACGCTTGCATGGTTATTCTTAGCGCCTTATGTTGCAATGTTCACTTAGGCTACTTTTGAAAAACACGATTTGAAGCCTGTAGTAACTTTTAAGGCATCCTAATATATATTATTAATAACAATTTGAAAAATTATTTAAAACATAATAAAAATCACCTTTAAAGCGAATAAACAAGACAAAATTATTAACAAACCAAATCCAATATTTTGACTTAAAACACCATAAAAAATCAAAAAAAAATCATGAATAATCAATTCGAAATATTAATGAAATTAAAATAAAAAATAAAATAAAAAATTTATTTACCTTTACAGAGCATAATCATTATCTACAGTAAGATAATCTTCATCAATTTCTTCCGACTCAAAATCATACAACCAATTACGAGTTGTTATAAAAATTTCAACATTTTTATGTAAGAGTTTAGTTCTCAACTTGTTCAAAATTTGTTCCCCCATGCTAAAGGACGATTCAGATGCAACTGAAGTAATTGGAAAGATAATATATCTCTCGCCATGCGAGAAAGTACCCGATAATAAATACTTTGATTTTTTCAATACTCTAAAATATCAAAGTCAAATTCTCCAGTACGAAGACAAGAGACAAACTGATGTAAGAGTCAACATCTGATCATCTACTTCTTGAAACAACTAAATTGACATCAAAATTCTAAAAAACAAAAAAAAAAGACAAAATAATTAAATTATGAAAACATAATAAAATAAATTAAAATAAATAAAATTGAATATGTAATTCTAAAAACTAACCTGAAATAGATCTGATTTTTTAAATGATCGAGACTGAATGAAACTTGACCCACTTCTGTCTAAATGTGTGTTACTTTTGACAGAAGAAAAAAATCACAATGTGCATTTTTTGAATAAAATACATATAACTCAATAAACTCATTATAAATGAGACTTACATTCCATTCAACCTCGTCATCGACATAAAGAACATTGTACAACTCCTTTATAAGTCGTAATTTATATCGATGATCAAGTAAAACAGCAAAAGACATAATCATTGTGTGATCAGACCAATATTTCTCATATAGTTCAAGCATGGGTCATGTCATTGTATAAATACCTTCACAATGATCATTATGAGCATCACATAACAATTTGTCAATTGCAACAACGTTAGCCAAGTACAAGTTAGAAGTGAGATACTTAGATCCAGATAACAGAGTAGTAATTTGATAAAACGACTCAAGAAAATCACAGATTGTTTGAATTGTTTCCCACTCATGATCAATAGTGATTTCCAACTCATTTTCCCTATTAACAAACAAGTTTATGTTTAATCTAGCATCAAGTACCCTATGAATCATTGAGCAAGTAGAATTTCATCGAGTAGGAACATCCAATAACAACTTACCACGCAAAGAATAATCACAATCTTTAATAGCTAATTCAAATGCACAAAGGCGAGGGTCGGAAGAATCAATAAACTTAACAATTTCACATAACTTAATAACAGAATAATCAATTATCTTCAAACCTTTTTGAACTATCAATTTCAAAATGTGGGCAACACACATTATATGGAAGTACTTACCATTGCAGGGAAGAGAAGAAATGATATTCAAATCATCTTTAAATATCTTAACCGTTTTATCACTTGTAGAAGCATTATCAAGTGTTATGGTAAAAGCTTTTTTTTCAATACCCCACTCACGTATCATATTTTTCACAAACTTAAAATTTGACTCACCATCATGGGTGGAGGAAAACGACGAAAAATCAGTATTTTAAACCGAAGTTTCCAATTATTAACAACATAATGTACAGTAAGAGCAAAATAACAACGTGAAGTGCAGGTATACCATATATCACATGTAAAATAAATACGATTTGAAACAGAATGCATTGAATCATGTAGTAATTTTTTGGGGTAAAGTATAGTAATGGTCACTGAACTTTTCTGAAGCTTTCATTTAGGTCCCCCAACTTTTAAAACTTACAATATTGTCCCCAACATTTAGTCCGTTTACAATATAGTCCCCGATATTACACTGTCGTTAGAAGACGCTGACGTGGTAGTGAGATCACCATTTGCAGCTAAGAAAATTATAGTAAATTATATAAATGGTCACTGAATTTTTAGGCGCTTGCATTTAGGTCCCCCAACTTTTAAAACTTACAAAACAATCCTCAATTTTATTTTAAACCCCAAATTCCAGAATAATTCAATTATATTCTAAACCCCAAATTCTAAAATACTTCAAAATAATATTGAGTTAACCAAGATTTATATAATTTTTTTGATGTTTTGTTTGAGTTGTATTCAGTGAAAATTGATTGTTACTATTCGATTGAGTTCATGTGCAATTGAATGGTGGGGTATGCATGTGTAAATAACGTTTGATGGCATTGGATATTGAGTTCTAATTTCTTATTGTTTTTTCAGATTGTGTTGCATGTGTATTGAGTACTGTGTTTGAATAAAATATTGTAAACATTGATGTTATTTAAGTATTGGTTGTTGGGACTTAAATGTGAAACATTTTTTCATGAACTTGAATCTATAAATTTTCATAATAGTAACAATCAATTTTCACATGAACTTGGCATCATTTACACATGCATTCCCCACCATTCAATTGCATATTAACTCAATCGAACAGTAACAATCAATTTTCATTGAATACAACTCAATCAAAACATCAAAAAAATTATATAAATATTGGTTAACATGAAATCTTGGTTAACACAATATTATTTTGATTATTTTTGGAATGTGGGGTTTAGAATGTAATTGAATTATTTTGGAATTTGAGGTTTAAAATGAAATTGATGACTATTTTCAAGTTTTATAAGTTGGGGACCTAAATGCAAGCGCCTTAAAAGTTCAGTGACCATTTATATAATTTATCCTAATTTTCATAGCTGGAAACGGTGATCTCACTGACACATCAGCGTCTTCTAACGGCAGTGTAACGTCGAGGACCATATTGCAAATGGATTAAATATTGGGGGGTTGTATTTCAAGTTGTAAAAGTTAGGGGGCCTAATTGAAAGCATGAGAAAAGTTAAATGACCATTACTATACTTTACCCTAATTTTTATTGATTATAATAAACAAAACGGACAATCATAGCAAGGAATCTTTTCAATCCCCACGGATTTCTATGCTTATATTTTACAATCAAATTGGAATTAAAAAATATGATTATCAAAAATCGATGCATACTTGTTACCAGGCAGATCATGTAAGTTGATAATGGTGTCTTCTTCTTCCCTGGTGAAATTCCCTCGTTTAATATCTGGCCTCAAATAATTTGTCCAACGTAGCCTGCAACTCTTTCCGCATCTCAATAAACCTGGAAACAACAAGGAACAAGATTAATGATGATGCTTTGTTTTTTTTCCTGGGTTTTTGAAGAAGAATGAAGGGGAGGATACCAGCTTGTTTGGGGAGAGCTCGCCAGTTGCAATGGCCGTGGAGTTGAATGTAATTGACGAGAATCTGGTCTTCTTTGGGGGTCCAAGGACCTTTCTTTAATCCCATTTTCTCACAACATGGAGCTCTCACCATTCTCCTTCCTCTCTCTTTGCCTTACCAAAACAGTGTTTAGTTGTGCTTCGGAGATGACGAGAGAGTTGATTTAAGGCTCAAAGTGAGGCTATTTATAGGGCTGCGAAAATGTGATCACATCATGTGAGTTGACACAAAACAAAAGGGTGGGCTGTACAAAAAGTAATTATTATTTATTGTAATATATGGACAGTTTAAAATACATGATGATAATATAAGGTTAAAAAGTAAACTATAATAATTATAATTGAAAATTTTATAAACTATATAATCTTTTAGAATAAAATAGATAATATTTTAGTTTGATATCGAAATGTTATATTTTTTATTAGGATAAATTATATCGTTTCTTACTGAACTATACTATTTTTTTTATTTTTCTCACTCAACTTTTAATTCGATCAATTTGTTCATTGAACTTTACAATCGAATCTTTTTGCTCACTCGACTATTTTCTCTCTAACAACTGATGATGTGGTATTTTTATTATTATTTAATATAAAATAATTAAAATAATAATATAAAAATATAAGGTGGTCATGCCACCGTCGGCCATCGTCGACTGCCATAGATGGTGGTCGTTCGGTCCTAAAATGCAATAGGTCGCTTCGTCTCGATACCTTGAGTTCGAATCTGACCTTCATTTTGTCAGAACTTGCTTCGAAGTCCACGAATTTGAGATTGAAAGTGATGAAACTGAAATATTTCAGTCTAAATTCACGGGTTTTGTGACATTTTCCGGTAAAACAACCATCAGATTTGGACTTGGGGAGTCGAGACGAACCGACCCATGAAATTTGGGATCGAACGACCACCATCTACGACGGTTGAAGGTGACCAAAATGAAAATAACGTGGTGGCCGACTAAGAGAAAATGAAGAAGAGAAGGAAATAAGGTAAATTACACCATGAGTCATTGAACTTTACTCTCCGAAATGACTTTTTTGGAGCATATTTGAGTTTTTTAAAACGACATTGTTTTTATGCATGTGCCACGTCATAACGTCATTAAATAGTTAACAGAAGAGTGTGTAAAACGATACAATCTCTAAAGTTCAGTGAACAAATTGATTAAATTAAAAGTTGAGTGAGGAAAATAGGAGAGAGAGTAAAGTTCAATGAGAAAACTAATTAAATAATTAAATAAAAATTAAGTAATAGATGGGTAACCAAAAGTAGTTTACCCTTATATAATGAAAATGGTTAGTTCTAGTTAATTTTCTCAAACTGTTAATATGATTATTATTGTGATATCATTTTAATTTTATTTAGGGTAAAATATAGTAACGGTCACTAAATTTTTTTGAAGCTTTCAATTAGGTCTCTTAAGTTTTAAAATTTGTAATACAATCCCTCAATATTTAATTCGTTTGCAATATGGTCCCCGACGTTATACTACCGTTAGAATACGCTGACGTGCCAGTGAGATCACCGTTTGCATGTATGAAAATTAGGGTAAATTATATAAATGGTCATCAAACTTTTCAGGCACTTACATTTAGGTCCCCCAACTTTTAATACTTACAAAACAGTCCTCAATTTTATTCTAAACCCCAAATTCCAAAATAATCAAAATAATATTGAGTTAACCAAGATTTCATGTTAACCAAGATTTATATAATTTTTTTATGTTTTGATTGAGTTGTATTCAGTGAAAATTGATTGTTACTGTTCGATTGAGTTCATGTGCAATGGAATGGTGGGGTATGCATGTGTAAATGACGTTTGATGGTATTGGATATTGAGTTCTAATTTCTTATTGTTTTTTCACATTAACTTGGCATCATTTACACATGAATACCCACCATTCAATTGCACATGAACTCAATCGAACAGTAACAATCAATTTTCACTGAATACAACTCAATCAAAACATAAAAAAAAATTATATAAATCTTGGTTAACATGAAATCTTGGTTAACTCAATATTATTTTGAAGTATTTTAGAATTTGGATTTAGAATGTAATTGAATTATTTTGGAATTTAGGGTTTATAATGAAATTGACGACTGTTTTGCAAGTTTTAAAAGTTGGGGACCTAAATGCAAGCGCCTGAAAATTTCAGTAATCATTTATATAATTTACTCTAATTTTCATAACTGCAAATGGTGATCTCATTGACACTTCAACGTCTTTTAACGACAGTGTAACGTCGGAGACCATATTGCAAATGGACTAAATATTAGGGGATTGCATTATAAGTTTTAAAAGTTGGGAGACCTAAATAAAAACTTTAGAAAAGTTCAATGACCATTACTATACTTTACCCTTTTTATGTTTTTCATGCTCCAACATGCAATACGTAGTAACAGTATACCTCGATATATTATTCACACTAGAATTAAGGTAATGATCCGAACTGAATCAGATGTCAAATTAATCTGAAAATGATCCGAACTAATTTGAGCTGGACCCGACTTGATCTGAGTCAAACCATCAAAATGACCTGATACAACATGTATCCGATTTTACCTAACCCGACAAAATTCAACCGAAACTTAAAGGATTACATGATTTTATACCCCTAATTGAGGCTATAAATGGTTTGGTATTCATAAGAAAACTATTATTTATTCCGTGAAATGCTTGAACGACTTTTTCCCGCGGATAAAATATTAAAGAACGTTTTGTCAAACAATCCTCATTTTTTCTCATTTCATAAAGATCGGACAATGTGTGATATTCTCCAGATATTATATATATGTGTATATTTGTTCTAAATGTTTATATCTGTTTTAATACATATATTTATACAAATTATCATTTCACGATTAATACAGATGACTATCCAGCTTATTTGGTAGAGCACAAGGTTCTTAACCTTAAGGTCGTGGGATCAAGTCCCACGGAGGGCATTTCATAATTCGAAGGTCTTCTACGAAAGTTGGTCTTAACCTGATGTTGGGGACAATCTACTATCTTACCTCCCTTTTACCCCATTACATATGAGAACAAGGGATAGTCATTTTTTATCATTTCACGATTAATAATTCTTATAATGTTATGAATAAAATAAATTGAATTTTAAGAGTTATTATTGAATATATTTTACCGTATTTAATCTCAACAATTAATCTTATCTATTATTAGGTTAACACGAGATCTCGAAGTAATAACGTACATCATGGAATGAAAAACAATTAAAAAAATCATACAAAAGAATAAAAGATTCCTAAATTTAGAATTTCAATTTATTAGGTTAAGTGATGATTTTTATCTCTAGATGTCTCGGGTTCGAGCATGTCGTTTGTAGGGATATTTGAGTATTCATTGTCAAATGATCGAGAGTCTTTCGAACATATATTACCCTGAAATAGAGTGAATCATTGTCTGGGTGCAAAATTGATATGTAGACTAGGAGGTTGTGAATCCGCTCTGTTTAAGATTGTTCGAGTGACCTCAGGATCGATTTTCGTTGCTTCTAATAGAAAAAGGTACACGATGATGACCATGTAGCGAAAAATAACATACTGGGCATAACAAGGGAAAACATATTCAACATCCCATATTGTATGACCTGAAAAGGATGAATCAGTTTTCAACATGATCAAGATATGATAGTTCTTTTTATACCCTATTCGAAAGTCCTTTGCTGGAAGCTTCCGAAGCAACGCGATTTCGATGCAGATTAACGGCGGTTCCGATGAGATGCTTGCTGCCTCAAGGTCTGACCTCGTTGTGGCATAAGAGATGAAGGTCAGGCTGAGGGACTGAGATATGGTGCTACATCGGATTGAATAAACCTCTCGAGGGACGGATAAAAATTAATACCAATGATGCAGAGGCAGTGGAGTCCGCAATGGCACGAGCAGAGGCTGTGTTGCGGGATTCAAATGCAAATTGGAATCTTGGATGGAAGTAGAGATGAATCGAGAGGAGCTATCGCCCTGAAAATTTCAAATTCTAATATATTTTAGATATTTTCTATTGATACTATGTTTTCGCCGCTTGAAATTCCCTCCAAATTATTATAAATTCTCCCATGTCATAACATTCTGTATCCGATTATGAATAGAAGGATACGAGGGGAACGTCGGAATAAGCACGATTCTACAAGCAGGGTTACCAGCAATCATGGATGGCTTGAATATTGCATGGCATAGAGGGGGCGTTTGGATGGGAGAATGTGAGATTCCCATGAATTAAATCCACATTTTCCCGTTTGGTTAGTCCGGGGATATCATTCCCGGTAATGTAAGATTATCAATAGAGGATTTTTTGGATATATTATCGGGAATGTCATTACCTCTATTTCCTTAGGTATTGTTGGATTACCGGCGTTTTGGACTAAAATGCCCTTAATTTTTTTTTTCTCAAAAATATCATTATTCTGTTATTGAATAATAAAAATTCTACGAATGTTAAATTACAAATTTATCCTTAAACTATTTTAGATTTACAAAAAAGTCTATAATTAAAATTTTATATGAAATTCAAAGGTTAAAATAAAATTTTACCCTTTCATTAACCTTTTTATATTTTCAATTTTGTAAAAAAAATTATATAAATTTTATGAATTTAAATTTTTTAAAGAAAATATATAAATATTTTCCAACTTGTTAAAAAAACAAATATATAATAAGAACAATTTGGTTAAAAATACATTTCAATAATATTTTATTCTTTTAACCAAACAAGGTAATCTTACATTCCTGCTAAACCAACCAAACACAAAATACAACATTCCCAGTAATCATATTACCTGATAATCTTACATTCCCACTAGTAATCTTATATTCTAACTGATAATCTTATATTTCGTGAACCAAACGCACAAAGAGAATTTGAGGATTGCTTTTAAAGTGGAGCAATGGGCTACTAGTTTTCGTACTGAGATTGGGCCATTTTTACGATTTACCAAGAGCCCAAATATTACTGCTGCTAGAAAAGCCAACCTTAAGGAGAGCAACTACAATACATTGGAAATTTCGCACTGACCACAAGCGCTCGTTTTCGGCTATAAACAGTCGAGTGGTGGTGGTGGTGGTGGCAACTGACTGACCGGTAAGAGCCGGCGGACACAAAGCAAAGAGGAAGCTCTGGGTCCCCATCCCCTGTTTGCCTGAGAAATAGAAGCAAAAAATGGCGAAGAAAGCTTCAAATTCGAAAAATGATGGTTCATCTTCAACCTCCGCTACTTCCGCTAAGAGCCCACCAACAGCATCCAATTAGTATTTCTCTCTCTCTTCCCTTTGCTTTGTAGTATTTTCTTTTATAATTTGCAAAACAATTATAGCTTTCTTTGTTTATTTTTGCTTGTAAGGAGTTTTTGGGGTTAACAATAGACACTTTTGCTTGAAAAAAATTGGTAGCCAAATGGCATTGAGGGTAAAATCAAGTGATAAAATGAAGAAGATAGCTCAAGGGAGTGTTGTTAGCGTGAGAGAAACGAGACCCAAGTCGAAGTCAAGGCTCAAATCGAAACAGCAGCAGCAGAAGAAGAAGACAACAAAATTCGATGCTAAAATGCCCAAGAAACCACCGACTGCTTTCTTTTACTTCTTGTGAGTTCTCCTTATGTATAATGTTTGTTCATGGATTTGGTTTAGTTTTGTTTATGCTTCTTGCATCTTTCCGTCCCTTGGAACTAGGAATCAGGTTCTTAAGTTAGACTTCATAGTTTATGGGGCCTTGGTTCAAATGTATATGCAATATGTATATTTAGATTTTATAGAGGGATTTTTGCAGACCCCCTACATTCCGGAAACTAATGTCCTAGAGCATAGACATGGGTTCAAATCCCACTAAGTGCAAACTCTTCAGGTTTCCATGGTCGACTCACCTATTCAGTCATCTAAGGTGCTCCCTCTAGACAGACTCACAGACCCCCCAGGGATAGAGCCGGGAGAAAAAAATCCTCCAGGGATAATACCGAACATGTTGGGGGGTCTGTAAAAATCCTTCAATGGTATGTATGTATGTGTTGTGGATGGTGTGCTTTGGTTCCTATATCAAAGGATCTTTCTGTTATTTTTGTCGAAAAAATGTGATTGTCTTCTTGTGATAGACATTGATCTAACCGAGTTTTCCTTCTCATATACTCAAGGGAGGATTTTCGCAAGGAATTTCAAGAGCAGAACCCAGATATCAAGTCAATGCGTGATGTATGTTATGGTTTGAGAACACAATTCTTAGTTTAGCAAAATGAACCTCTCTCTGTCCGCAACATATATGTTAATGAATACTGCAATATGTTGTTTCAGATTGGGAAGGCATGTGGTGAGAAGTGGAAGACGATGACATACGAGGTTTGTGCCGACTAATCTTGAATTGGGTCTATGTTTTCCATGTTCCTTACCAATTCATATAATTGACATATGCTCTTTTTTGATCGGTTTCAATTTGAATTGTCCATGTTCAGAATGTAAATTATAATCTGGCTATCTGTTATGATAATTTAACTTGGTGAGATGTTTGTACTATATAATGGTGGAAACATGTTTATTCGATTCTGAGAGCCAAGCAATTTTACTAATGATGTTTAGCTTCATATTAGCCCAAATCCTTGGCCATGGTCATTGGTGACATTGGTTTGTCAAAGCATACTTAAGTTCTCTTTAAAGACAAGGTGCCCATTTGTTTTCTGCTCATGGATTTGCTTAAGGATGAAGAAAATAGATTTGATGTCCAACTGCATAGTACTTCTAAGATTAGTATATCATTGCAGGGTGATAGGATTGTTCCGATTTTCGTTATTAGCTTATTGCACTAGTAAATGATTTTCATGTTCTAACTAGGGATGCAGAATTTAGTAGCATGCATAAAAATAACTTGGCAATCGGTATCTGTACATGCCAAGGATGCCAAATGTCTTAGGTTGATTCATATTCCGGAACTTGAAGACAGTAAAATGTACATAATAATAGAAAAAAAAGAATTTCATTTAATCGAGAAGCTTCCAATTTCTCTTTAACAGGAGAAAGTTAAATATTACGATATTGCAACCGAGAAACGAGCAGAGTTTGACAGAGCCATGGCAGAATATAATAAAAGAAAGGTAAACTTGCTTTAAGTTTTATACTGAAGTTTTCTCTCCAAAATAAACAATTAATTTATCTTGCTGAGAGTTTTCGTCGTTGTAGGAAAGTGGCGAAGATGAAGAAACTGAAGATGATTCAGATTATGAGGAATAAATCGAAACCTTACTGTTGTATCAGGAAATGCATAGATGTAGTGGTTTATGACTTACGAGTTGCACATATTAATGTAGGGGGATATGTTCATCATCCCGGTATCATTTGTGTGTAAATTACTGCTTGGATATTGCCCTTACATTATTGCCATGCAGACTTGAAAAACTTCATCTGACTATTATAATTCAAGTAAATATTCATGAATTTGATGGCTATCTTTTATATCTCCGTTCCTATTTGTCTTGGATTTTATTCAAAATGTATTTGGAAGCTTGCCAACCCGGAATTTGATTCAAATTCCAAATCCAAAAATGAAGGTAAACTTGCTGGATGATATAGTTCCTGTGATAAACAAGAACAGCAGACCTGAGGGAAATGAGTCTCTCAAAGGCAGCTTGTAAGGTGGTGAGTGATGCCGCATATGATATCTTAATGCAGCTATCATCCCCGAATGTATCTCCGGACTCTGGGGGTTAATGCAACCTGAGCCTTGTCCGGGAAGTATCGACCAAGTTTTCGATTTTGGTGAAACCATCTGCTTCTATTCCATAGTAAGAACTCAAATCAATGAATAGACAGAAAACTCCTTGAGGTTACTATACCTTAGCGTCTTCCGGTCCTGGAAGCCTTTCTTGGATGAGCATTGCTTCCCTGCAAGCATAGCCCAAGCATAATGCAGCAACCCCTGCTTTTTGGGTGCAGCAATGCATCCGAGTCACCGACCAGTCGTCACAAAAGCCTTGGAAAACCAGACTGTTGGAGTTCGCTCCCTCATGCCTGGAAATGACGCAAAGCTCGTGTGAGTTTCCAGTGAATAAATTACATGTTTATATTTCATCGGAAAGCACCAGCAGTGAATAATATCTCAAATGTGAAGGGAGGTCAATAACATCGAGAAGACTGAATAAAAAGAAGTAATGCTGGTTGAACTCAAATATCTTTAATGTATAATTAACAAAACCCTAATTTTCTCACAACCAATAACAACAGCAATAGAAAACGGATCAAAAGACTCCAACGAATGACCAGTTTATCGACTCCAACGAATGACCAGTTTATCGACTCCAAGACTATTAAGAAACGATAAATAACTGACAAGGAGCACTTAAAATCTTCCTTTCGTATCCAAAAGAAACAGGCAAAACTTTGTATTAATTACCATGAAACGAATCGATGAACTCGGCACAATCCATTTGAACAAGCAATGATGAAGAACTACCACTCATCAACTGGTTCAACTATTTTTTTCATTTACACAAATTCCTTATTATTTCAGGAAGAAATGCTTCGATTAGTGGAGGATTAATTCACGGAATAGAGTTTAAAGGGAACGATAAAAGGATGGAAAATAGAGATGGCTATTCAGCAGAAGATGGGAGCGGCAGGGCTGATGAAGAGTCACAGAAGCAGGAAAGACATAAATCCCACATGTTTAAGATACAAGCATGTGCTGCCCAAGTGAACTTATAAATTAAAGAGCAAATTCGACCGGTGAATTCACGGAGCCGCGCGGTGAGCATAGAGGGAACTATTTTTTCGCCTTTTACTAAAGAATACTGTGTGCTTGCTGCTTCAAGTGGCATACGCCTATTTTTGGAGAGCCTTAAATTGAATTTAATTACGTTAGTGTCTAATGATATAATTCATTTATAAATTAAAATGGACTATAAAGACAAAACTCCCAAAGTTCAACTTTTATTCATTAGCTGTTAATTTTTCACATGGAAATTAGAGTTTGGAGAAGCTGACATGAGGACTAAATTCCGAAGAGAGACTCGAAAGAGGTTTATAAGAAGACAAAATACTATGTACTAATCAGGGTTTTAAATAGCGATCCGCGCTCGCGCCTGCGAAATAGTGGTAGCGCTGCCTTCTGATATGTCCACTATAGTCGTAATAGGGGCCGGTATGGCCTCAATCGCAGTAAACGAAACATGACCGAAAATGCGATCGCGGCCGTAATTTAAATTCCTGGTCCTAATTTGTAGAGTAATTAGTGTAAAAGGTCTTCAAATAGACTACGCTAGAACTTTCTAAAATTAAAATTAAAGCTCATGAAATGAACCTTCTCTTTTAATTAGGGTACACGTGATGAAATTAATGAAAATTAACCAAACTAAACACGTTGAATAATCAGCAACCAGTCACATAGTGAAGAAAAAAACGAATTATGCTATATATACATATATATATATATATATTACACAAATAAATTTACTTTCATATTATATATCTTATTTAGAGTTTAAGGTTTATAATTTGAAGTTTTAAGGTTTATGACTTTAAGTTTTAGGATTTAAATTTTATAATTTGGAATCAAAATAAATATGTTATATAAAGTGAATTCGACATACTTATATATCAAATAATATATATACAAAATAAGATCTTATTACACAATATAAAATACTTTTAATTTCGTAAAAAATTAAAATGTTGGATGAGCAAAAATAGATAGCTGAGATTTATAATAGGAAACGATAATATATTCATTAGGGAAAAAATAGTTAATCTCGACTATCTATTTTCACTCATCGAATATTTCTAAATATATATAAAACTAAAAGAGTTTACATTACGTAAGTGTATCATAACTCATATATATATTGAATTGTCCGGGGTGGATCAAACTAAAAGAGTTTTCATATATATAAGTTTAAATTTAATTGTTAATATTCAAAGTGTCAAATAAAATCTTAGTTAAACTTATATGTTTTTTTAATAGTATAAAGTGATAACAAGATAATAAATGTTTAATTTTTTTAATAATTAATAAGGTAAATACTGTAAACGTAATTGTTTAAATTCGTGTATTTTAAAAAAAATTTACTATTAAAACTAAGTGATGAATTCAAATTTATATGATTTCTTAGTACTAAGAAGTCACGAGCGAAAATTTATATTTAAACATATGGGAATAAGGTTGGTAGAGCACAAGGTTCTTAATCTTGAGGTCGTGAGATCGAGTCTCATGGATGACATTTCATAATTTGGAGGTCTCCTATTAAAACTGCTATCAACCTAGTATTAGAGGCAGCCTACTATCTTACTTGCTCTTACTCATTACATATGGGAACAAAGGACCGGTAGTAATAGAGAATAAAAAGGGAAGAAAGTATATGAGAATGTCATTTTAGGGTTTTAAGAAAAGTCAGCTTTTTAAGGTAAAAAATCAGTGCGCATTCCCTCATTCTAAACTAGGGATTTTTTTTTTTTTTGCTTATAATTTTTCCCTCAACTCCTTGAAAGCCACCCGCGTGTTTGCTATCTGACAAAACACCGTATATCTTTTTCCACAAATTTTTCAATTCAATTTCTCCAATTTACCCTCCAACATATTAATTATAATAAAAATGAAATTTGTTGTATGGGTATGGGTTTTCAATTTCCTTAAAAAAAACCCAGAAAGGGATCTTACATGAAAGGTACTTGAAAAGATTTAGTCTTTGATTTCAAAGAGCAGATTGTGTTTTAGGGTCTCCTTGATCTTTATTTCTGTGAGAGGAAAAAAAACAGAGAGAAAGAGAGGAAAATAATTAATAAAAGGGAGCAAGAGGCGCAAATGTTTGAAGGAAAAGTGAGCTCTTGTAGTTTTCCGGATGAATTAGTTGGATTAAACTTGGCTTTTGCTTGCTTTGATGCCATTATTGCTATTCTTGCTTTTACTCAGGTTTGTTTCTTTGGGTTAAAGACTAGATTTTTTGGGGTTTTCAGGGAATTTTTAATTGATTGTTAGTTTGTAATATGGGAGAAATGTGGGTTAAAAATGTGTTTTTTGGATTGATTTGATCTGGGTTTTTTGCATTACAACATAGTGCAATTACATTTGTTTTCTTTTTCTGCTTCTCGTTTGGTGATAATAGAAATTGGGTCACTTGATAGGAGGGTAATGTTGTATTTAGTTATTAATTAACTTCCAATTTTAGCTAATACGATTGAGATTAATATTGGGAAATAATTCAAGGTGTTGAACTTAATTGTTGGCATGACCAAAGAGTTAGCTGGTTGAACATTATATTCTTTCATGTTTATGCTCCCTCGTGTATGTAATATGTGATTTAGATTTTATGTAACAGATTATTTTTAATTTGTGAAGACATGAATTAAGAGACAACCTTTTTTTATTACATCTTTTGTTTCTAATTGGTAATCAGTGTTATTTTCCTTGAATGCAACACAAAAATATAATTTGATGAAACAGTTTTCTTGTTTATCGTTAAACTGAAAATGAAGGGTGAATAGTTTGCACATTCAAGGAAGTTACATTTCTCTAAACAAAAAATGCACATGATCTTAGGAATTCACGAGGAATATGTCTTATAAATGGTTGGTTCTTAAAGGATATCGACAATCAACCTTAATGTTTTCCATGGTTCAGTATGTTAAGTTTGAATCTGAAAATTGCTGGTTGACTGAACCGTGCTTAGCTATCTCAGGTTTATTTTTACCATAAGCGGAGTTTGGACGAACAATGTAAATTATGAAGAGATTGAATTGAGCTCATTCTGAGCTTTTCAGTTTACCCAAACTTAATTGTTGCCTGTTATCTATCTTGGTTTTTATTGTAACATTATTTCTATTCCAATTGGTAACTTAACTGCAATTCTACCTTTTTAGTTAATTCAACTCCGGTTTTTGCTGCAACTATGTTTGTTTCAGAAAACACTTCTGGTTTGAGTTGCTGTAACTTTCGGTTTCCTTGAAGATTGTATACCATTCTATTTTAACTCTGACATGTTCAAGATCTGCTTTTTTTTTATATATCCATGTAACTTGTTATATACATATATGTCTTTTTGTTATGAAAAACTGATCATTCTGCACTGAGTATTGGATAACAATATTGGTTTTATGTGTATCAAAGCAGTGAATTTGAAATCCATAGACATCATGATGGGTGTCTGGGTATCTGTGTTGGAACTCAATATGCATATGTGCTGGTAGATGTATGTCATTTTTTGTAGACAATATCACCTGGGATAATATCGTACATCAGGTTAGTTTGATGTTACTAATTGTTATGGGAGATTATTTCAAATCCTTTCTTTCTGGTTTGTTGTTTGTAACAATTATTTACTCTGTGGTCAGCTAGCACGGATTCGCTCAAGGAATACACAGCTCGGATGGACTCGCCAAAAAGTAAGTGCTATGTTGCTTTCTTTGACTTTTTAGTTGAAGGATCTCTATTTGAATGCAAATTAATTCATAGGCTAGCTAGTTTAACACAATGTCAGCTGACCAGTTGGTCGAGTGGGGACTAACACCTTGATCTGATCTATGCGTGTCACCTGACCCCTTAGGGCAGGGCTTGGTGGGTTGTCTGAACAAAGGAATGTCTGTGACCCTTCTGACACTGCTTGAACTTGGAGAAACTGGAAGGTTCAAATTTAGTTGCAGTATGCACTAGCTCAAAAATTTTGGGCCTCGGAGTTGATAGTATGCCTTGAAGTAGAAAATATTTTAACCAACATTCCCAGGAATTCAAACGTTTTCACAAGCGTCTTGCTTGCTTTTGTAATTTCTACACTTCTTGCAAACATTGGAAGAATTATTAAGTTAATCCCTGTCAGAAAACTCATAGTTCCACTCCTATGCTTTCTTTGATCTTGTATTTTGTATCCAATAAGGAAGGTACAATAAAACATTAAATATTTACCAAAAATTTTCAATAAGATGTGTAGTAACCTAGTTTGGAAACTAGGAACCCTAATTGAGTAAAAATGTTGTTAAATCATTCTGGAATTTATAAAATTGAAAAAAAAATCCATAGTCCAGTTGAGGTAGAAGATGGACTTGGGGTTGAAGCCAATCGATGTTATCAAGGTCCATGCATTTGTGTTCTGTGCAAAGTAAAAGATGGTTGAATATGTTTTCTTTTCTAATCATGGTACATGTAAGTTGCTATGTTGATTTCTATTTCTAAGTGTATATTCTTGTTCTTGACCCAATTGGATGTTATGACAGGTGTTCCATATACTGATTGGATTTACTAATACTGGTATGCATTTGTATTTTATGCTTAGCTTGTTTTGAATCACATCTCTGATTCAAAATGAACCGCTAAATTCTCACCTACCTGCAGGTTACTTCATTTATTTTATCTTGAGTCTTGCTGCTGCATGCCGAGATTGGTTATGCTGGTCATACTCTTGTGGTTTTGTAGCCATGGGTATGTGTAGATGCTCGTAGTAAGATCCTACTTATTTATGCAGCAGATTAGTTTAAGCATTAACCAGCGCAAATATGGGTGTTGCAGCCTTCCCCAGAATTCTATTATTTGCAACATTTCTTCTGCTTTTGTCATTCTGGTATGTCTTCTCTTTAACCAACTTATTTACATCTCCTTGAGTGAAAAATGTTCACGTCTCATATATAACTTGGTCAAATATAAGGAAGACATGTTCTCTGAAACCGGAGATATTTGCAAGAATCTAGATATGCTCCTCTCAGTACTCGTTTTTCTAATAATAGGAAATGGAAAAAAGAAAAGGTAGATCAGCTTTAATTCTTGACTAATCATCATATCTTAATCAATTAATATACCAGACAGCTTTTTGTTTATTTATTTTTATCTTTTCCCTGGGCTATCGGCTATCCACTCTGGTACTGAAGCTTAGTGTTTTCATAAATCAGGATAATATCCTATGTTAGTTTTAGTTACTTTCATATTTTCTTTCAGAGTGAAAATTAGTGTTTCTTCATTAGCTATACCCCATGTCTTTCTGGCGGATTTTTTATAGGGTTGACCTTTGCCACCAGGCAGATGATGAAGAGGAAGAGGATGATGAACAGGGCTTTCTAGAAGCTTTAATACAAAATTCTTTAAACAGACCAAGGTCTTCAGTCGCAAATGGTCGCAGATTATGTTATCCTTTCCGTTTAATTAACGTTGGAAGCCATCAAAAGATAGTTATTCTGGTATAGTGAAATATTTTCTTCTTTTGTTTCTTATCATGGTCTACATATATAATAGAAAAATATTTCTATAATATTTTCCTGTCATGTCATTTTTGTAAAACATAGTGTTTGAGATCTCGTTAATTCTTTTTTTTTTCTTTGACCAGGTTACTGTTCTTGTATTTCTTATTATGATGACATTTTCTGTGTTAATCTGGATTGGAATGGAAGAAAATCCTATTGATTCATCAACCGTGTCGCAGGTATGAACACCTAAGAAGCTATTTTCTTTTGAACTATTGTTGTTTTCTTAGAGTACCATCAATAAGTCTCTGATTGTCATAGAGAAGGTTTTGGTGGAGATGGTGTTTGCATTTTTTTTCTTCTAGTTTATTGCTTAGAAAATGAGAAGACGCAATGGAAACCTGTTTTTGTGGAATTTTTTTCTGATGGTTATTCCTTCTATTTCTAGTCAAGCCATGAAGTACCGACTGCTTATATCATGCAGGTTTATGTAGATCTTTTTGCTACAGCAATACTATTGCTAGGTGGAGCATTAGCATGCTATGGTAAGCAACCAGCATTTATATGGACTTTTCTTTTCATATCAGTTGAAGATTTTCCCATTATTGGGATAACTTTGTGATGAAAAAAAATGTCTAACATCAGGCCAACCGGACTTTATTCTTCCTTGCCACACGTGAACCAAATACCAGAAGTCACGTGTCAGTCTCCCATCTGTAGTATCTTACAGCATGCATATGTAATTATGTATATTACTTAGATTTGTCCCAGAGGAAACATTAATTAGAGAAGTTCGTTAGCACTTCTCTTTTAATAGGCAATATGACTTATGGTTGATCTAAATGCCAGAAAATGTTACTGGCCAGTCTTTGTAATTGATTGACTAATTGATACATCTTAAGAATCACTAGAATAGATGGCTCATTTCTCTTTACATATTTCTTCACTTAGAGATGCCCCTATTTTTATCCTTATGCTCAGGGTTCCTATTGTGTCAGAAAATGAGGAATGTTAGATCTGAAAGAGCTTCATCTGAGATCTGGAAGGTATTATCATACTATTCTTCACGCTTTTGTGCTATTTTCTCTGGTCTTGTCATTTTGATCTCAAGTTAGAAGATTCACTATTCCTTGGCTTTTATGTTTACCTTTGATGCGTATATCTTTGTTAAAAATCTGGCGTCTTATCTTATTTCTTTGTATTGCTTTTTCGTGATGTTGTGTTGAGATATATGATTTATGTAGGTTGCAGGTTTGGCAATCATATCGGTTATAAGTTTTACATCCAGTGCTTCTGTGGATCTTTTTACTGATATTCCGGTACAGAGCTCTCCGTTGTTTGTTTGTACCATGTTTTATTTTCTAGCTTCATGAACTTAATCGTGTTTTCATGATTTCAGGTGCTTTATCACTGGCGGGAACTGCACGTAGACGGTGTTTATGCTTCTCTTTTACTGATTTTATATTATTTTATAGGTACTTCCTTCGACTTTTACCTTAAGTGTCCAAAGTTTGCTCCAAATCGAAGGCTTTTGTTTGTCGTTTACGGAATCAGCTTTTAGGGCGTAGAATATCCTAAACATTATGTACTACCGATCCTTATCTAGCATTACAAATACTTCACGATGTATTTTGATGTTTCCGAATATTCATCTTCATCTGGCAATCTGCAGTAAAAGGGAACAGGTTTGTGGATGATAAATTTGATGTCTATAAGAACCTTTATCTAACCATACTTGTCTTGGATAAGGGACATTGTATGAGAAATCAGGATGAATATATATGCATGACAAACTTTACATCACAAACAGAATGATTCGGGTGATCCAAGAGATTAAGACGGCTAGAGTTTCCGAGTTATTTATGTTGCAGCAAAGTTTTTGTGCAATTATACGTCTACTCTTGTCGTACTAGGAATTAATTTCATGTGAAGGTAGCGAATAATGTTGTTGCATCCATTTGATCACTCTAAAGTATATTTATAGTTTATATCCGATCTTAAATATGGAATTGTGAAACATATGAACTCTGCTACCTTATCTTTTCATGCTGCTGGGTTGCCTCATGGAAAAAGAAGTAGGTCATGATATCGAGTTAATAATTTGATGATCGTTTTGCTTTTGTAGGTTCGTCGGTGCCCTCAGCTTTCATGTTATGGGTCATGAGAGAATTACCGCCCATGTCAGCGGCTAACGCTCAGGAAGAATCAACAAGAGTAACTTTCATTACTGAAAATTCAGTTTGCCGTCCTCAGAACTGGACTGCCTCTGCTGGCTCACAGAATCAGGTCTGCATCTTGTGCGTTTATATATTGCATTTTTATGCCGAATCAGCTCGCGAAACAACCTTTGGTGACTTGAGCTTCTTTGCTAGCACAGGCATCGCGAGGTAGTCCTATATGATTGCGAGGTAGTCCTATATGATTGCTCTTTCATACATAAACCCGTGTGGTCCGCTTCCTAGGTGACGGGACCGGAACAATTGTGGATCAAATAAGAGTGTTCTGATTGCAGAAACAAACGGTAATCGAAAAGGTTACGATTGCTGACTTTACGGGGCGGTCGGAATGCAGCCGGAAGGCTTGCCGTTGCCATGTTTTGACAGTAAGAGAATGTAAATAGCAACGGAATGGTAAATGATTTGGTCCCATAGTTGTCCAATTTTAAAAACATTTGATATGCCACTTTTAGTCTTCGCCACACTCGTAGTGTATTCGAATGGTTTCTTTGATAGATAAATTAAAAAATAAATTTATTTTCTAAAAAAATATTAAAATTATAAAATATATTAACATCGAAAATTGAATTTATTATCATATCAACACTAGTAGTTAGGGGTGTAAACGAGTCGAGTTGAGCTCCAAAACTCTGAAATGGAGCTCGACTCGAACCCGATATTCTGAATTAAAGTTCGTGAGCAGTTCGAAAAGGTTTGAAATGAAAAAAAAATTAAACTTAACTCGATTGAAATCTCAAACTCGAACCTGAATCTTAAATACATAAAAATTTTACTGTTTTTAATATAAAAAAATCAATACATAAATGTTAATATTATTAATATTTTATTTTTAAAAAATAAAATTTTAATATATTATATTTTCGAGCTGCTCAATAACTTTTCGAGTCGAATATCAAGTAACTCGTTTCGGCTCGTTAAGAACTTGAGTCGAGCGAGTCTATTCGATCCGAGTATTTATTGAGCATTAATCGAGTCGATCTCGAGTAACTCGCGATCTGTCTCGTCTCATTTACAACCCTAGTAGTAATCGACAAATAGATAATCTATTTAAATTCATTTTACATTTTAAATTTAGATATGTCTATTTCGGATAATGAGAGTTGACCTTCCTTTATCATCATTCACTTTTATGATTGTAAAATACTCTCTCCCATTACTATATAGCAAAATTTTAATATCATTCATTATTTAAAATAATTAAGAATTAGTAATTAATTTGATTAAAATATTGTCTTAATTAAAAAAAACGTTTAGCTCAACTTAGGTATCATCGAGTCCCACAGAGGGCATTTCATAATTCGGAGGTCTCTTACGGAAGCTGCTCTCAACCTGGTGTTGGGGGTAGCCTATTATCTTACCTCCCCTTATCCCATATATATGGGAAAAAGGGACAACCATTAGTCTAAAAGTTTGAAGAGAAAGTTCGAGTGTTTTAAAAAAATTCGTAATTTCGCAAAATATATTTGTTTTTTTTATATATATCTATAAATAAATAAAAATTTACAGAATTAAGATGTTTTTACAATGATTAATTTGATTATATTTTTTATTTTTAGTTTTTAATGCTTGTATAATTTAATTTCATAAATAAAAATACTCAAAAGGCAGCGTTTCGGCATAAATTTTAAAAGTCGAATGACATAATTGAAATCTTTTAAAGTTTAATGACTAAAACAGAAATATGATAAATATTAATTGACTAAACAATAATGATTTGAAAATAATAAACAATAATATAATGAAATTGACCTCCACCTGATACATTAATTGGATTTAATGTATTATTTATGACTTAATCCGTTTAATCATGGTTTAATCTTTTAATAATAATAATAATAATATATTATTATTATTATTATTATTAGGATGATGTTGTCACGCTCGACAAGCAGGATGAGTACCTTTAATAATGAATACCATTAAATTAATTTATAAAACATTAAATTATAAAATATTAAACGTAAAATTATAAATTAGTAAAACATCTAAACGTAATTTAATTAAAATACAATATTTATAAAACATTAATTTTAGGGTAAACTATACAATTGACTACCTAACTATTTATTCCTTTTACTTTAACCATTGATTTTTTAATTTTGTCAATCGGGTCACCTAATTATTTAAATCTTGTCAATTAAGCCATCTGCCATTAAATATTAACGGAGGAGATGAAGTGGCAATTAATAAAATTTGTATAATTTCACATCTAGTCCTCATTACTTGCACATTCTATTAATTTGGTCCTAACTTTTATTTCATTCAATAATTTAATCAACAATTTGATGGTAACATGTGTCACTGTGTGATTCAATTTTTTTAATATTTTTTATTTAATAAATTTTCCATCCAATCAAACGGTGTCATGTGTCACCAATTGAATGAATGGAAAATAAATTAAATAAATAACCGCTACTGGACAACTAAATTTGTCTAGTATACATAACATAATCTATATAATTTATAATATAGTTAATGGTAATAAATACCTTATAAGGATTCAAACATGAAATAATTAAATAGTCTGAAAATATAAAATATATATAAACAAATATTATAATTGATTAATAAATGACTATGTTTTATTTATATTTTAAATCACATTTAATGCAAAAATTAAAATAAAAGTAAATTTAATATGTTATAATTGAAATGTATCATTTTACATATTTTAAAATTAATAAATTATCTTCGTTATTATAATTTTATTGAACTGAAATATATCATATCTTATATTTTAAAATATTATAATATTGATCGGATTCTAATCTTATTTAACAACTTTATGTTAAAATAGATTAATTCAATAAAATCGAGTTTCTGATTTACAATAAATAATAAAATATAAAAATTTTACTCTAACCACAATATATAAACAAATCAATACATAAATTAAAATATTTACAACGATGTTTCAACATACTCAGAGGGAGTGTAACCAAGTGGCAGATGGACTGGCTAGGCTGGCGTGGGCTCGACATTCTGATTTTCTTACCTTTGACAATCCTCCAATAGAAGTCAAGGCAATGCAATATTTTAGTTCTCAGTTTTAGAGTTTCTCTTTTATTAAAAAAATCTTACTACGATAAGCTCTCAACTATAAAAAAAAATTCTAAGTCAACGAACTTATTCGTTATATTTTAATTATAATATATTAAAATTATTTTTATTTTTATTTATTCATTAAAATGATTTAAAATATAAATAAAATACATTCATATATTAATTAGTTAAAATATTTGTGTATATATATATATATATATATATATCGTATTATTCAGTTATTCCATGTTAGAGTTCTTATTAGGTCTTTTCTTCTTCTTCTTTTATTGCCATTAACTATATATATATTATGTCGTTATAAGTTTGTCATTTAAATGGTGCAGCCCAGTGGTTGAGGCATATACTTCTCTCTTTACGTAATGGGGTTTGAATCCCACCAACAACGGTTATTGATTCAATTTATTTTCGGTTTATTCAATTGGTGACACTTGACAACATTTGATTGTATAGAAAATTTATTAAATTAAATAAAAAAATTAAGAAAAAAATACAATCACATAGTGACACATGTCACAATCTGATTGAGGATTAAATTTATTGAATTAATTAAAAGTTAGGACCAAATTAATAGAACGTGTGAGTAATGAGGACTAAATATGTAATTATATAAATGTTATTAACTACCACATCATCTCCTCCGTTAATATTTAACATCATGTAGCTTGATTGACAATATTTAAATAGTTACGTGACCCGATTGACAAAATTGAAAAATCGGTGGTTAAAGTAAAAGGGATAAATAGCTAGGTGATCAATGATATAGTTCACCCTAAAACCTAATGTTGTATAAATATTGCATTTTAATTAAATTTCATTTAGATTTTTAACTAATTTATATTTTAATGTTTTATAAATTAATTTAATGACGTTCATCGTTAACGATACTCATCCACGCTCGACAAGCGTTGTAGAATTTTTTTTGGACAATGTTGTCACGCTCGATGAGTACAGATGAGTATCGTTAATGATGAGAATCATTAAATTAATTTATGGGTAAACTACACGTTTAGTACATAAACTATCGGTTTTGCTCCGTTTTAATACCTGAACTTTCCATTTTTTCAAAATCATACCTAACGTTTAGTTTTTTCTTTTTTTTCATTTTAGTATCCTAGTTAAAAATTTAACGTTAAGTTTTGAAAAAAAATGAAAGTTTAGTTACTAAAACGGGTAAAAACTGATAGTTTATGTACTAAACGCGTTAAGTTTTTAACGACAGATACTAAAATGAAACAAAAACTCAAAGTTAGGTATGATTTTTAAAAAAATGATAGTTTAAGTATTAAAACGGATGAAAACTTATAGTTTAGTACTAAATGTGTAGTTTATACATAATTTATTTATAATATTTAAAAGGGTAAACTACATCATATACCACCAAACTTTAGGTGTTGTATCGTTTATACCACTGAACTTTCAATCTTACTAATTATAACATTGAATTTCGATTTTTTTGTTTCAATTATACCACTGAACCGTTAATTGTTAACGCCGCGATGACATGGCTGACGACTCCCAACATAAACACCTCACCAAATCGATGTCGTTTTGACATGACTGTTAACAATTTAAAGGTCTAGTAATATAATTGAAACAAAAATCAAAGTTCAGTGTTATAATTAGCAAAATTAAAAATTTAGTGATATAAACGATACAACGCTTAAAGTTTGATGGTATATGGTGTAGCTTACCCTATTTAAAATGTCAATTAAGAGTTGACAAGTTGTCACGATCATATATTCAACAAGTGATTTTAGTTGAGATACAATGATATATATAATTAATAATTTAAATTCAAATAATATTATCTATAATATTAATGTAAATTTATTTAAACATGAAAAAAGATACTACCATAAAATTATACTAACAAATAATGTTAAAAAAAACTACTAACCATTATCATAAAAGAAACATTTTGACGTTAAAATATGTTTCAAATCTATATTTTTTAAAGATACAAATTCATATGCTTGATTTAGTTCAAAACCAAAATCTTCTCTGGTTTTAGATTAGCTTGTAGTTAACCAGACATGGCAGAAACTCAGTTACAACTCGTCGAAATCACAGGTAATCTGTCTGAAAAAATTATCATGTAAAAAGTCAACGTCTTGTCCGAGCTTGTAATAATTCATGATTTTTATTTCATTTTCCATTGCTGCAGAGCTAGAAACTAACAGTAAAGAGAATTCAATTGATCAACCGAGTTGTGTCGACCGGACACGAAAAACTCCGTCAAGGGACTATAAATGGTGGATTCGTACGGTTCTCTATACGGTTTTTCTCATTTGCGGGCAATCATTGGCGACGCTTCTCGGTCGGCTTTATTTCGACAAAGGTGGCACCAGCAAGTGGTTAGCATCGTTGGCTCAAATCGGCGGTTTCCCGGTTTTAGTACCTCTGTACTTCTTTATCCTATGCAGAAATCCCACGCTGGAATCGGATTCGCCGCCGTTTGTGACGGCGTTCTTGAAGGTTTATGTGCCGCTCGGGCTACTTGTTGCCGGCAGCGGTTATCTTTTCTCGGTTGGATTACAATATCTCCCTGTGTCAACAGTGACTCTGATCACAGCATCACAATTGGCTTTCAATGCTTTCTTCTCTTATTTTCTTAATTCGCAGAAATTCACTGCCTCCATCGTTAACTCTCTAGTCCTCCTCACCATTTCTTCGGTTCTATTAGTCGTAAACAATCACACCGAGAAGCCTGCCGGAGTCTCGAAAGGCGAGTACGCAGCCGGGTTCATATGCACCGTCGGCGGAGCCGCGGTGTACGGCTTGATGCTAGCGTCCCAGCAGCTCGCGCTCCGAAAAGTATTAAAAATACAAACGTTGAAAGTCGTGTTCGACGTCATAATATATCAGTCGCTGGTGGCGTCGATGGCCACCGTGGTGGGATTGTTTGCTAGCGGCGAATATAAAGGTTTGAAGAAAGAAATGGAGGAATATGCACTCGGGAAAGTTTCATACGCGATGACTTTGCTTTGGACAGCCATAGGATGGCAAGTTTTCGCCATCGGAACCGTGGGATTAGTCTTCGAAGTGTCGTCTCTGTACAGTATTTCCGTCCGCACCGTCGGTTTGCCGATTGTACCGGTGCTTGCCGTCTTCGTTTTCCACGACAAAATGGATGGGATCAAAGGGATGTCGATGGTGTTGGCCATTTGGGGCTTCGTCTCGTATATTTATCAACACAATCTCGATCATCAAAAATCGAAGATCGAAAACCGGATAGTCAGTGAGATTGCTGATGAAGATTGGTCACCTGCAGATAATAGAGCTTAATAGCCTGTTTCCATGGCGTCCAATTTCCATCAACTGTAACTACGTTTAATTTTCGGCAAAATTTTCGAGATAATGTTCTCGAATTTTTTATTTAACGATATAACGTACTCCCAAAATTAATTGCTCAAATAAGGCGAATTGCACAGTGTTGGCTGTAGGTCGCCATGCCTTCCGGGCGACCTACGGCGTGGCAGCTTCTCAGCATAGGTCACCATGCACTCCGGGCGACCTTGTAGGTCGCCATGCACTCCTCCTGCTCCTCGCGTGATTCCTCTTGCCCTCGGATGCCCTCGCATAACTCGTTCGAATGGCCTCGGTCGGATGCCCTCGGTCGGATGGCTTCGGATGCCCAATGTGTTGGAACGTGCATGACACATGCAATCTCTCTCATAGCTCGCCGGGAAGACATGGCGACCTAGTAGGTCGCCCGGATGGCATGGCGACCTACGACCAACACTGTAGATTTTACCCTATTTGAGCAATTAATCTGAGGAATGCATTATCTCGTGAATTAATTTATTCGAAAACGTTATCTCGAAGTTTAGCCTTAATTTTCTGCATGTGTTTTTCTTTTCACCCCTAGCAAGTTGTTGATTAAAAGGCTAATCAACAAATTGGAGCCGTCACTTTCAAATTCTGTAATTAAAAATAAGACTTTATACGTAATTTAATCTTTACATTAATATATATTTTTAGAATAATTATAAATACAGGAGAATATTGTTATCAGAATTTCAACTTTGAATCTTTGGTGGCAAGAACTTCGACAACTGCTTCAAATAAGTGTTGGTTTGATTTACTTATTTGATTTTTTAAAAAATTAAACTATTTTAACATTTAAATTATTATATCATCTTAATTTATTAAAAAATGTTAATTAAAAAGAAACAATGTCAATCAACAACGTATATATCTTAGAGAAAATAATTTCAGTGACCGAAAATGTCTTATAATATACGATTTTAACCAACTATTTTTTGGATTTGCGAAAATGACCAACAAATTCGTAACGCGAATTCCAATTTCGCAACACAATTTCCAAATACGCAACGCGAATATGTAAATCGCAACACAGTTTTCAAATTCGCGTTGTGAATTTCACAAATTCACAACTCAGTTTCGGAAATTCGCGTTGTGATAGTTGTGTTTACCTATATCGGTAATTCGCGTTGCGATAGTACTGTTTACATTGCGATAGTACTGTTTACATTGCGATAGTATTGTTTATCTATATCGGTAATTAGCGTTGCGAATTTGAAAATCGCATTGCGATAGTACTGTTTACATTGCGATAGTGTTGTTTACCTATATCGGTAATTAACGTTGCGAATTTGAAAATCGCATTGCGATAATACTGTTTACATTGCGATAGTACTGTTTACCTATATCGGTATAAAGAAAATTTGTAACGCTAATTACCGATATAGGTAAACAGTACTATCGCAATGCGATTTTCAAATTCGTAACGCTAATTATCAATATAGGTAAACAATATTAAAATTCGCATTATGATTTACCTATTCGCGTTGCGATTTTGGAACCTGTGTTGTGAAATTGGAATTCTCGTTGCAAATTGTTGGTCATTTTCGCAAATCAAAAAAAAATTAATTAAAAGCGTATATTATAAGACATTTCCGGTTAATAAATTTAAACCTAAGAAAGAGGATCATTTATTTAATGGATAATGGTTACACCATATACTCCAAAACTCGAGGAACACTGTATCTTACAAACACCTACAAATGGCCTCGTGTGTCTTGCACGTGATTTGCAGGCACGATGTATCAGAACAAAATCTAAAATTTGATCATCGAATTCATCTAACTTGATTAGCTTACAAATAATTATCATAACTTTACGGTTGACACACGTATTAAAAGCTTTTATAAATACCCGAATCAAGATTAAAAAAGGATATGGGTAGACTGTAATTGATTGACCCTCTTTCTTCTTCCTTAATCCACCCCTCTCCTTCAAACACCGATCCTGTTGCAGGTCGTGAAACGATCTGATAGTAGTTTTTTTAACAACATGACTAATGTGAAACTGTAGTTAATAGTGTCAAAAATTCAAGACAATTATATTACATTCTATCACTTTCTTTTCGGCCAAATATTATGGTCTATGTTAGATCATGTTTCAGTAATCAATCCAACCCAACCCAACCAGGGAATACTAAATCCTGATTAAGAGGAAGCGAAAAGAAACTTTAGAATGCATAATACAATATTTAAGTCTGAAAAAGAAGAAGAAAAGAAAACCTATAAGGTTAAGTACATCAGTGGCAGACTCGATTCACTGCATCAGGCAACCAACATAATGAGCTCAAGGGTATTTGCTCTGCAGTTGTGGCCATTGCACAAAGAACTGATCTGCAATCTGTAACTTGTAAAGCAACAGACCACTTAAAGAGAGTTTTTTCACTCTTGCAATGCTCTCGACATAAAAATGGATGACCATCTAATCTCAATCACCTGCAAGCAAAATTACAACTCCATTTTTCTTTTTAGATAAGTTTCATATTATTATCCAAGAAGCCGTAGAAATCACACTGCTACAAACAATACAAGTCACAAAACAAGCAACAACCTCCTAGGAGTTGTTAACCCCCCAAGCTAAACAAAGGTTTCTATTGTTAACACTATTTTAATGACAAAACGAAAAGACTTCAGCCTAACAACCTCTTTAATATTGCTAACCACACTATCAACATCTCGACAAATGCCCCTAAATTGCATATGGTTTCTTTCCTTCCATATACAGTAAACGTATGCACACCAAGCTATTCTAAATATAGACACAAAAAGGGTTTTGCCTTTAAATCGAGAGATATCCCAATTCAGCTCCACATCCCAGCACCCCACCATTCTGTCAACATTAAATAACGGACGATCACCTCCCAAACAGCCTTTGAGAAGGAACATCCAAAAAAGATATGGCTGCGGGTCTCAGCCTCAGTTCCACACAGCCTGCACTTATCTTCCACCCCAAACCCCATTCGAGCAAGTCTATCAGCAGTAGGCAATCTGTCAAGAATAGCCATCCAGGCTATGAGGGAGTATTTAGGAGTGTGCAAAGGAAACCAAACAACCTTATGCCATTCCACCTTCTCCTTTATTCCCCTGATCTCCTGACATAGCCAACGAGTTGTAACCTTATCCCAGACCATGGTCCCCGTGAACAAATACTGAACTTCCTCCCTTAACTTCAGAATCTTCCGCATACTCCAACTAAAAGAAGGCTTGCTTGCAACAGACCAGAAGTCAACTCTTTTGAAAACATACAACCTCACCCAGGCGACCCAAAGAGAGCCTTCAGCCATGAGGAGATCTTTAACAGTAATAGAATACAAGCTTTGTTCCAGCAAGCTAATTGCTTAAGGCCTAAGCCCCCCTCAGACTTAGGGGTGCAAATGCTCTCCCAACTCACTCGGGCTCCTTTAGCAGGAATGTCACCCCTTTCCAGAAAAATCTTGCACAAAGCTGGTTCACCCTTTTAATCACAGCAGTGGGCAGAACAAGCTGCCTACACCAGTAGCTAGCAAAACTGAATAAGACTGACTTCACCAATTACAATCTGCCTGCATAACTCAACCATCTATTGGACCAAAGTCCAAGTTTTACTTTGATCTACTCCACTAGACTGGTACAATCTTTCACTGTTAATTTCCTAGGGACAAGAGGCACCCCTAGGTATCTCACAGGAAGGCAGCCTAGCTTGAATCCAGTAAACTCATGGACCAATGTCCTAAGGTTATTATTCACACCAGTCATGAAAATTTCAGTCTTAGCAGCATTGAGCCTCAACCCTGACATCTCATAGAATCTTTCCAAAACACATTTCACCCCTACAATCGAATCAAAGCTACCTTTGCAAAATATGAGTAAATCATCTGCAAAACATAGGTGTGTTAGGTTTAGTTTCCTGCACTTAGGGTGAAACTGGAAAATTTTCCCAGAAGCAGCAGTATCCAACATTTTTGAAAGGACATTCATAACAGCCACAAACAGGTAAAGGGATAGAGGGTCCCCCTGCCTGACTCCTCTTCTTCCTCTAAAAAACCCTACTAGACTGTCATTCAACAGAATGGAGAATCTAGAGTCCATAACACAAGCTTCAATCCATCTCCTAAACAAATCAGGCAGCCCGAATCCTTTCAAAACAGAAAGAAGAAACTTCCAGCTAAGTGAGTCAAAAGCCTTCTGCAGATCAGCTTTTATGGCACACCTAGGGGAGATAGAACCCCTTCCATAACCTCTAACAAGCTCCTGGGCTAGGAGAGTGTTCCCTTCAATTTTCCTCACCCTCACAAAGGCTGATTGGTTAGGGGTTATCATCATAGGGAGATATTTAACTAATCTGCTAACTAAAATCTTGGTAACAGTCTTATAAAAAACTGAGCAACAAGATATGGGTCTGAAGTCCATGGCTTTACAAGAGTTAGGAAGCTTAGGGACTAAAGCAATAGCAGTGGAATTAAATACATGCAATATTTTTGAGGATACAAAAAAATACCTCACAGCAGCTATGAAGTCTGCTCCAACAATATCCTAGGCAAAATGAAAAAAACCAGCTGTGTATCCATCAGGGCCAAGAGCCTTATCCTTTCCTTGATTCCAAATGGCCATTCTGATTTCATCATTTGTAACAGCATTGGCACCTGCAGGCAGAGTGTAATCCAGCAAGTCCCTAAGAAGGCTGTCAGAGTACCCTTGCACATTTGCATCCATAGTACCAATCTGCCTAGTGAAATGATCCACCAATTCTTCAACAATAGAATCAAATGTGTCAAGCTTTTTGCCTCTCTCATCCAACAACACTCTTATAGTATTTCTCTTCCTTTTGACAGCAACTTGGGAATGAAAAATTTTAGTGCACTGATCACCATCAAGCAGCCAATCCACTTTAGCTTTCTGCTGATAAAACAATCTTTCAGCTTTCTCTAATTCAGTAAGCTCCAAGAGAATTTTTTTCTCTTCAGTCACAGCATCCAAATTCCTTCCAGATAAGGTGATGACCTGCAGCTTCTCTAAATGATCTCTTTTAAC